CGGTTTTATGGACGGAATTAAAGGTTTGGGACCGACGCTGCAACTACATATAAAGGTTTGGGACTTCGACCGCAAAAATAAAAGGTTTGGGTGTAATCTGCAACAAAATGAAAGGTTTGGGACCACGACCGCAATTTTCCCTAAAAATAATGATCACTTCTACTTTCATTTCCTTTTGCCAAACACACTCCAACCAACATTCAAAAAATCTAAATTGCCACGATGACAAGATGGATCACTAGTTTGTGTTACGAATAGTCAAATCAAAGCATCGCAGCCTACTTGGGGACAGATGCAGTTGGGTGGCTCATAATGCAAAAACCCAGATAACCCCTCTTGCACAGTACCAGTGTACTGACAGTCTTAAAGCCAAAGCCGAGGATTGCGGTGAACCCCCACCACTTAATAATTTAAGATCAGGACATCAGGTTAAAAGCATAAGCTCAAGTACCATGTATCATCTTTTGTAATACTAGGATGCTCTCCAACTTTTAAGGGGTGGGGGTGGACAGTTCCCTTTGAAATCCTAGCTGATAGGAAAGTAAAAGCAACAAATGTAACCCAATAACCATGGAGAAAATGTATTGAAAGACATTGAAAAGCTTCAGGATGTAAAGTAAAAGCAACAAATGTAACCCATTAACCATGTAGAAAATGTAATGAAAGACATTGTAAAGCTTCAGGAGAGAAAAAGAAGTTGAAAGAGTTCAAATTCTACTTAAAAAAACGAATGAAATAAAAGCAGCACTGCTTCATGTTGCAGTCAACATTTGTGCTCGTAATGAGCAAATGTGAAGAGACATTGTCGTCTTAAGTTTTCAGGACGACGAAAAACAAAGATCAGCAAAAAAGAAATCGGAATCAATTAGTAGCCTATCTTGATTTGTTTGCCAACAATCTATTCTTTCAAATAGAAAGGTAGAGAAGTCTAGATGGTGTTGTAATCTAACTGCCAGTTATTTCAGCTCTTTCCATGATAAAGTGAGTTCGCTACTGAAGGTAGATAATGGTGTTGGGATATTGTTTCACTTGGATGAACAGCAGCTGAGGAAGCAGCAATACTTGAATTAGCGAATCCTGATGATGCTGCAGTAGAGAAGAGTGGATCAGCAGGAATCCCATTAATGGGGTTCTGTGTTTGCCATGCCCAACTTGCGGAAAAATTAAGTTCCCTACTCTTCCCTATTGCTGATCCCTGCAAATGAAAACTTAATGATGATAATATGCGCTACTTCAAGGAAATAATGAGCACGAATAATTAATTCAGCAATAGACCACGTCATATGTAAACACATAAATTCATGATTTTATTTCTAAACTAGTTCAAAATAACAACAGACTATGAGCATGTTTTCGGTAATTATGAGAATTGGCAAGAACAAAGATCATAAGCGGCAGCTTTCAGCAAAGGCTAAATCAGTAAGTTAAGCACAAAATAACAGAATGGAATTTGTGTTGACATGCCCATCAACAACTCTAAGAGTAATGGCATCACGTAAACAAATAAGATTACTGAAAACAAATAGGTAAACTACTTGTAAAGGAAAACTAAAGAGAATTGTTACCAAATAGGTTATTAAAGAGTATAAAGATTATACCTTATAAATGGGACAAGAACTGGAATTCACACCCTTCCAGAAGTGAGGATGGTCAAGCACATTTACATGTCCATGTGACGATAGTGTTTTCATTGTAGCTGAAGCGGTGTTATGCATCTGCAACGAAATAAGTGCATCTAGAAAATTTAGCAAACAGCTTATGATTTAAAGTGTTAAAATGGAAATCAGGAAGCACCTCACTTCAATTATATATATCATTACATGATAAACCAAATTCTACAGACATGAATGTTCAAATTACCCTTACTTCATTTTCAGGCAGGGTTCCATCTGAGGTGCAGTGAATCTGGAAGCCATCAGCATAAATGGTCTTATTTTGGCCATTGGCAGAACAAGGGGGAGCAATGCCCAAGTTCAGATCTAGATTATGGTTTCCACCAGCTACAAATATCAAAGACACATCATAGGGTAATTGTCAATTATCAAAGAACATTCAATTAAAAGGAATCTCAACAAATATACAAGTTTATGAGGTACTCAGTATGTTTACCTCCATTACCAGCCTCAGAGCTAATCTCCTCTTCGTATGTTCTTGGCTCAAAATTAGTGACTGCTTCCCTTCCGTTACATTTTATAGCAGCCTTGTCATATGCCCTAATTAACATCAGCAGATGTTCATCAAGCTACATCGATGGATAAAATTATGCAAAATAAAGAGCATAAGAATTATTTATCATTGGAACCTTGCAGCTTCCATCTCACTGTCAAACAACCCAAGATAGATATACCTGCAGGCAAATATTGTTTGAAAGCCCATAAACCAGTTGCATTTGAGTAGAAATGTTTTCAAGATCACAAAACTACTGAAGATGACAAAATGTAAACAGCAAGATCTATGACAAGAGACTCTCCATAAATTCAAGAAATATAGTGACATCTCACTTTTTGCCAAGAAGTTGTCCCATTCGAGCTTCCCAACGGCCACATTTGTGCAATGTTACTCCCCTGTACTTCGAACTTCCTCTAGAAAACCCAGTGCTCTGGCGACGCAGTATATGTACAAATTCTTCCTTCGTCAAATTCTTCATCTGCAGAACATAAGTTCAAATGTACACTCAACCACATGAACTTGGAAATAGTTATACAAGTAGCAAATCCAACCAACCTGCTTAAGATCTATTTCATAATCAACTACGCTGAAATTGATATCAGCATCAAGCCCCCGGAACTTAATCGCAGCACGATCATACGCCCTAAAATTATTATCCCAGAACTTGCGATTAAATTCCCTCTCTAATAAAGGACAGAAAGCCCTAAATTATAAAACCAATGTGTTCCAAGTCATAATCCAGGAAAAATTTCTTACCTAGCTGCAGCATGTGCAGTGTCGAAGCCCCCTGTGAATTCGAGTTTGTATTTACACATTTTCAAATAGAATTATGGAAGGTCAGTGGCGTTGTGTAAACAAAAGCCTCAAGGATCAATTCCATAAGTGAAAACAAAGTAGCCTTACCTAAATAAACTTGTTTTCCACAGTCCCTGCAAATAAAAACATCTTTAATCATACGATCTTGACAGTCAATAACATCCATCTAAAACGTCTTAAGCAGTTCTAGAATGAAAATAAATTGGAGATCTATTGAAGATTAGATAGATTGAAATCCGACAAAACAGAGGTGAGTATGTGATCAAATATCTCCATACTGTGTATTGAATTGGAAAGTTATGGTCTTATAACACAATAAAAAATCTGTTGCCAATTCTGAGATATGTACACATACAGATACATCTATAAACACACACAGAGACACATATAGAGTAAAACCCTAGCTCATCATACTGACCAAATGTGAGATTCCCATCGTCCAGTTCTACGATAGAATGTGACTCCACGGTACTGAGAGCTGCGAGACCTCGGTCCTCTCCGGCTCTTCTTCACCTGCTGTCTCTGCTGCTGCTGCTGAGCGACAACCCACTGCGCCATTCCACTGTAATTCCTCGAAAGATCCAACCACTGACAATGCTGCCGCACAGCAGCTCCCTCGAGCACAGGAAAAAACTCCTTAGTTACGAAATTACCGCTACGATTCTGTTCGCCATTACTTTTCAATATACCGGAACTGAAGAAAGGATTCGAACACGAGTCCTCGTCGCCCACGGCGTTGGAGATTTCCACATTAACAACAGAGGAATTAGAACTGACAGAATTCTCCATTTGCCCTCCGCCCAATTCGTGCTGCTTCTCCGTAACTGTTTCAGTTCCATTGAAGATCGATCCATTCGCATCAATAGTCAGATTAAGGTCCAACATCACTCCCCTTTGCTCAAAATTTCCACCCCAATTTTCTAATTTTCCTCACTACTACATATAATTGTGTCTACATATAGGGAGCAAAAATGTACGTATCGATGAAAACTGCAATTGATCAGATTGAATATATATATATATAGAGAGAGAGAGAGATGGGGAAAAGAATGGTAAAGAAGCAAAGAATAGGTGTCTGAGTATATATATACGTACACATAGGTAGAGTGTAAGATTGTATCTATAGATTTATATATATGTATATAACTGAACTTCACATTGTTGCTATGTACAGTAAAAGAAAAGAAAAAACAGTATTCGAGAGAAAACAGAATATATAACGCGAACCGTTAACGAAGGAGAGAGAAGAAGAGTTCACTGTGCAATGGAATTGATACAAGGTGGCGCGTGAGGAACAGGCGAAGCGTAATCGGTGGTTGTTGTGTCATATTGATAATTGAGGTGACAGGACCCTAATCATGGAAACGGTGACGAAATAGTGAAAAGAAAAATCGATTGGACAGGTGACGCTTCTTTAGGTTTTGGACCCCGGTAGAGGAGTCCTCCGCCTGACGCGTGGAGTCGATAATACACGCGCCGATACTGGCGTGGGCTTTGTTTTTCAGCTTTGGCTAGGGAATAACCTGACTATATTTTTCTCTAACCAACTCTGTTTCTCTCTTAAATTAATAGAAAAATCTGATCAAATTTGATCATTCGCAGAATCGCAGTCGCTCACTATGATCATTCGTTCTACGTGATGTACATATAACGATTAGCGATTTGATGTATTAATATTGTAATTTTTTATTATTCTATGCATCAAATCATTAATCGTCAAATGTATACAACGTAAGGCGATTACGATAGTGAACGACTTCAAATAACATTATTCAATTTGACTGTATTTTTACATCCAAAATTATTTGCAATCTAATCGAAAATGACACCAACATTAACAAACGTGCCTAAAGTTGAGTTGTTGGGATAGAAATGTCCCACCTGGTGGCAACAAATTTAAAGCAAATAACGTCCCCTCACATCAATAGTGTGTATTACTTTTCAAAGACCTATAATTATAATGAAATTATACAAACAAGAAAAGTGAGGGTACACTGCAGTGGATTGGGATTTTTTTTTGTATTCAATTAAATCATAACAGATCGAGAAAAAGTGACAGCCATCGCTGCAAGCTTTGATAGCCATGACAACTGGAGATCCATTGCTCCTTTTGCCTGTTTGATCGTGGGGCTCGATTCCAACTTGGTCTGAGTGAGACCGTGGTGCTTTGAGTTCATATATCCCCTGATTTTCGATTTGCATTTTCTTCTTTGTATATTCCTCCCTGGATTGGATCTCCAAGACAATCAAAAGAATGTAGGAAATGTTATTTGTACACCGAAGTTGACACCCCGTGTACAGTCCCCCTCACAAGAGAGGGGTCATCGTGGACCCCCTCTCTTGTGAGGGGGTCGGTACATCGGAATGTCTACCCCAGTGTACAAATAGCACGGTCCTAGAATGTATATATTAGTTGGAAATGTTTCCCTCGTGTCACTCTCCTTGGCGGTGTTACCCTTTTTGTGCCAGATAACAGAGATTAGTTCTACTTTTAATGATTTTCTCATTGCCTTTGTAACCTAAGCACAGGAAAATCAATCAAAAGCACAAGAAAATCAATCAAACTCCAAACTCAGGAGGAAGAAAAAGTTACCTACCCCTCATCAGGTAAACCTGTCAAGTAAAGCTTAATATGAAAGAATATTTTATGAACTCCAAAACCAAAAATCGAGAACTTTCCAATGCTCAACTTCACGAGAAGACAATTCAATCCGTAATATCACAAAACCCAACGGCAGTTTAATCAAGATAACACTATATACCAAACCTATTTAGTATTTTCCAACCAAAACAGTTACATTGATATCTAACAAGTCAGAATAGAGAGCAAGCAAGCTCGGTCTTTAGTTCAATTAAATAACAGAAGGGAAAGCAGCAGAGATATCTGAAACAATTAGGTTAAAAATGAATTAACTGAAAATAGTTGAGTGGCTCAGTTATTTTCTTGACTTCAAGTCTTCAACTCCAAAATCAAACCAATTTTCGGCAGAATCTGAGGCTATATTCCAACAACTACAGATGACACAGTCTGCAAATAAGGCTTTTTAGAACAAAACTCAGTGCCTAATAGTCAGTCAGTGAGAGTGAGTACAAAGAAAAATCTATGAAGAGAGATAATGAGATTGAAGCCAGCAGAAAATAATAGTAAGGGAATAGTAGTGGGTTATTTTCCCTTCTATTTTGAACTCCTGCAAAGAGAGAAAACTGAGTTCATTATTGTATTTCTGCTCAAAATTTAGGGGGGGCAACTCCCATCCCCACAGTCATACCATGAAAACAACAATGATAAACAGCAAACACATATATGGAAAATGCTAAATTAAATTGCAAAAAAAAAAAAAAAGAAACTAAAAAATGCATTCAGTCCATTTCTTAGCAGAACGATTCCAACATTTAGATACATTTATTGTTTATCATCATAAAGACTTGTGAATTATTGATAACTTTTATCATGACATTTCAGGTTCGTTTAGTGTCTATTGATGGCACTCTATTCCTTTTCTTATGATAATGTTAAAAAGTCGACAAGATAGAAATATCTAACAACAATCTGATAGCAGAAAAGGAATATATACTTGTAAACACATATCCTCATATCCAATATTGCTAGTACTTCTTATAGAAACAAAATGAACATTTTGCAAATGAAGCTGCAAAATGAACATTTTGCAAATGACATTCAAGAGTAATAACTGTAATATCATGCTACGGTTTCATTTTGTTCAAAGAACAAAAGTGAACTCATGTAATGCATCATGAAAGAGACGATAACTTTGAGGAGATCCAACCAAGCTTCAACCTTCACTGTCAGAGCTGGCTACATCACTGCTATAATCACTACTGTCATCCTCGATGTCAAGCTGCACGTGCCGGACCTGTATCGACTCTGGTACCTTTGTCAGGCCTGGAGGAGGGATAGGTCTTGATTGTTGCTCCTCTGCCCTTGGTGGAACCGCAAGGGAATCAAATGGAGGCAATGTGACTGGATCACCAGGCTTCCACCCAGGTGGAGGAAGAATTGGCAGATCAGTAGGCAATTCCACAGGCATCCCAGGTTTCCATCCTGATGGCACCACAATATTTGGAGGAAGCAAACCCGGAATTGCTGTAAGATTTGCCAATGGATTGCTTTCCGATGGCTGTGCAGTTGGGGTTTCAATGAATGGTTCAATTGTTTTCTCTTTACCTTCATCTGTTTTAGATAAACCAACATCAAGATCGGCAAAGTTATATAACTGTGATGCGCGCAACTGCTCCTCCTGTGGAGCAGGAGGAAGTGCCCTCCGGAGAGGAGCCTGTCCAGCACCAAATTCTGGAGGTGCAAAAGTTGTGTAGCTTATCCTATGGGCGTAGGACAATATATCTGATAACTTCAGCTGAGTTGCCACAGTAGTTGTGGAAGAACCTTCTGCATTTTCTGTCGCCTTTGATCGTTTAGGGCGGCGATAATCAGAATAATCATCTACAAGAATATCAAGAACGCGCTCAGCCTCTTTAAGTTTATTGGCAAAAGCGAGAATTGTGGAATCTTTGGACCGGATTTCGCGAGCGAGCTTCAGTTTAGCATCTTGAAGATCAAGAATCTCTTGGAGTTCAGCAACAGCTTCAAAGAGTTGAGTTTGCAGAGCTGTGAACTGGGCAATGATTTCTTTGGTGGATGAAGGAGATGAGTCTGGTGGAATAGGTGCCAAGGATTGGGTTTGGGAAGACAAAAAGGGAGGAAGGGAACCTCGAAAGGCACTGAGCCAATGAGATCTATTTGGTGATACTTCAAAAAGTTTTGAGGCAAGAGATGCCATTCGGAAGAGAAGAGATTGAGCTCTAGGGAGAGGCGGGAGGAGAGGAAGGAGTGTTGAGGATACATGAGTCGCGCTTGACTGATTTGAGGATTGATGGGGATTGAGAGATGGTGAGGTTTGGGAGGTGAATTTAGGAGGTGTTGGGTTTTGAAGAGATGGTGAATTGGGATTTGGAAGGCCTAGCCTGGCTGGAGATTGCACAATCTGATGTGGAACATTTTGCAGCATTTTGGACTCCCCTTCAAGGATCCTGAAAAAAGATTTGGAACTTATGATAATGTGTCATCAAAAGTACCATTTCAGGAGTAAACAAATACGAAAAAAATAAGATACAATCCTCAAGAGCAAATCCATGTACATCAAGATTTGCATCAATTCCAGCAAAAGTTACCCTTATATTTAATCAACACGAGTAAAAATCTAACTGGGCATGGTATTCCATTGATTATGGGAAACAATGTGGGAAAACTCCATAATTCGGTATAAAGTAATAAAAAAGAAAATTCACAGTTGCTTTACAACAGAATTATCCATGGGAAAGAAAACGCCAAAAATATTCAAATATAAGACATCATTAACATAAATGCACTTACATGATCTAAAAAGAAAAATTAACAGCTACTCAGCTTCAGAAATCTCTAAGTTCACAAGTTTTTTATACTTGCAAGATTGAGTTCAGATCTGCCGATCAATGCTATTATAAGTAATTAATTTTTCGCAACAATCAATTATATTACTAATGTCGTAGGTAGCCCACAGTGGCTAAACTGATCTATTATATCCTCCCAGAATATCAACAAAATCCACAATTTTATGCTGTATAAGTTTTTAACAGCCTAATCATAGATGCAATTGAGTTTTTCACTTGTTTAAGGTCACAATGTTATTTTTTGGAGTAGAAAGAAATAACCATAAAACAATCATAGAATTACAGAACATGCGTATTCCATAAAGCATTTTGCTGTCTAGATGGCTTTTACATGCTCTAAAAACATTATCTACCAGGGATTGATATGGTTTAAAGTTCTAAAATACAGCTTGATATGCGTGACAGTTTATTTGAACATTTCCTTCATCTTCATATCTTATAATGCGTATTTTCTGGCAAATACAAGATAATTCACCTCATCAAGGTTGTGGTCACCAGCTATATACTATAATAGGGGCAGCAGGAACGGTGCAACCATTGCACCGATTATACATCAAAAACCATAGCTTATAAAAGTTCAGAAATAAGTCCGTAGAAAACCAAATTAAAATAGAGGATTGTTTACGAGCACAAGACACGAACCAAGAACCAAACAAAAGCAGATTGCATTGAGAATTGTGTATTTTACTATCCCCAATCGTCAATACTGGGATTAATGGAAACAGTAAAACGGTAAAAGTTCTATTTTTAAGGGTTTCAAAGTAAATTAATTCAACCGCTTCAGCAATGAATTGGAATCGTGAATTCACATATGTTAAAGCCATTATCCCCAAATTTCAAACACACACTCCCATAAGAAACGAAGACATATTTATTCACGCGCACACCAGCGAGATGAGGAAGAAAAACCTAACCCGAAGGAAGCGAAGCGTTGAATGAAGAGCACGTAGCGATTGAGAAAATGGAAGAACGGAATACGAATTTGGGAAGGGAAGGGAAATACAACTCGGAGGTATATTCAACTAGAAACAGATTTTTTTTTTCTTTCTATACTGAAAAAATAACAATAAAAAATACTTTCTACAAAAAAAAAACTTATTAATGTGTTGGACATTACTCACTGATATGGCATTCATTGCACTGCTAACGAAATTGGTGACATGACAAACAAAATACACAAGTGGCGCCTTGATATCACACAACAAATTGTCACGTAAAAAAAGGCGTTTTTAAATGCTCGACGTACTTTGAAAGACCTTTTTGATAGTTCACTTTACTTTTAAGGAAGTATTTAAATACTGCTATACTTTAAGGTGATCCAGTTTTGACCACTAACCTTGCAAATCCGATATCTGCATGTCCTGAAAAATTAGGAATGTTATTCCAAGTTTCATTTTCATACAGCAAAAAATTCTTGCAACATATTATAGGGGAATGTTTCGAGACATTTTGCAAAATACTTGAGTTTTGTTGCAATTTTTTTATATACTAGTTTTGGTCCATGCGATCCCAATCGTCAATACTGGGATTAATTGAAACAGTAAAACCCCTAACCCCAAAAAGTTCTATTTTTAAGGGTTTCAAAGTAAATTAATTCAACCGCTTCAGTAATTAATTGGAATCGTGAATTCACATATGTTAAAGCCATTATCCCCAAATTTCAAACACACACTCCCATAAGAAAGGAAAACATATTTATTCACGCGCACACCAGCGAGATGAGGAAGAAAAACCTAACCCGAAGGAAGCGAAGCGTTGAATGAAGAGCACGTAGCGATTGAGAAAATGGAAGAACGGAATACGAATTTGTGTAGGGAAGGGAAATACAACTCCGAGGTATATTCAACTAGAAACAGATTTTTCTTATTCTTTCTATACTGAAAAAATAACAATAAAAAATACTTTCTACAAAAAAAAAAAATGTCAAAAACCAAGAGACGAAGAAACGTCGAGTCTTGACTATTAAACTTATTAATGTGTTGGACATTACTCACTGATATGGCATTCATTGCACTGCTAACGAAATTGGTGACATGACAAACAAAATACACAAGTGGCGCCTTGATATCACACAACAAATTGTCACTTAAAAAAAGGCGTTATTAAATGCTCGACGTACTTTGAAAGACCTTTTTGATAGCTCACTTTACTTTTAAGGAAGTATTTAAATACTGCTATACTTTAAGGTGATCCAGTTTTGACCACTAACCTTGCAAATCTGATATCTGCATGTCCAGAAAAATTAGGAATGTTATTCCAAGTTTCATTTTCATACAGCAAAAAAATCTTGCAACATATTATAGGGGAATGTTTCGAGACATTTTGCAAATTACTTGAGTTTTGTTGCAATTTTTTTTTTATATTTGATCTATAATCTACACCGATAGTAAGAAAATATTGACGATTCTCATGACTAATTTTAACACAAATATGTATAATTTTTGGATGGTTTTTAATGTATTCTTTTTTCTATTAATATACATTATGGATTTTTTGGATGAATGTTGCTTCATGTTTGGCTGCAAGAGATAAGAATTTGAAGAGTCATAAAAAAATTGTTTTCTTCTTATCAAGAGATACTATTGTTCTTCGCAAGCGTAGTCATGTTGTAGTTGTTACAATGTTCAATAAGCTCCTGTTTGATGACTATTATTTTGAGAAAATAGAGTTTTGAATAGTGATTTTTGGCGAATATGTTATTAAAAAAGTAGAATTTTTTTTCATATTTATGTGTAAAATATTGTGTAAATATGTGATTAAAAATAAATATGAAAATTAAAAAGTTCTAAAATAATAATTATAAAACGGGGCAAAATAATACTCTTGACATGAACCACTGCCACGTCCATTCAAAATAAATAACATTACTCTTATCTCCGACCGTTGTTCTATGGAAACACATCATGACCGTCCAATTCAGTTGGTTCGTTATAGTCCCCGAAAGACCTCACAGACAAACGCGACTTGTGGTCCTAAACTAAAAAATTAGGGTTGAATCAACGGCGTTTTGGAAATTCGCTCGAGGTAAATCTTGACCCTTTTTCAAAATATATATGATAATAGGAAATCGACGCATACAGTCTACAGAATCCGTGCTATAAATCTATGATTTTTGTAATGATGAACCGTTTCAAATCTGCAAAGTTGTTTCTATATGCTCAGATATTATGTACAAACTGGTGGCGAGGTTGAATTCGGTTAAATTTTGGTTTTTTTTCTTTCGATTTTTCTAATGTCAAATGGTCCGGATTAATTTAGTTAAGCTGTTATGTTATATCAATTGGGGAATTTTATAGTTCTCATTCTCTCACTATTCCGATTTATTTGTATGCAGCATGCGTCTATTTGTGTCCAGAGACGGAATTGATTTAGCTGTCTTTTCTTGCATTAGCGTGAAGTTTTAGCTTTTAAAAGAATTGAACTTCTCAAGGGTTGTTATCCTTTTTACCCAGGTTATTTATTTGGGTTTTGAAAATGTTAGTGGAGTTCTCGACCACTTCATACATGACAATATGACATTAGAGAATGGGTTCTGGAATCTTGACCGGAGAACACTTGGTTGTTAATGAAGTTAACTTTGATCTTTGACTTGGGTGTATCTAGATGTCCACAGTGGCATGCGCGAAAGTTATTAGTATCTGAATTGTGGATGTTATATCTTTACTATTTTCTCTTGTTCATTGTCATTTTATCTTTAAACGTTGTCTGATCAAATCAGTCGACATCATGTTGTTTTTATAATTGTTTTAATTGGTGCTACAGAACAAAAATGCCTCGTTACGATGATCGATATGGCAGTAACACTCGCCTCTATGTTGGTCACTTGTCTAGAAGGACTCGTTCTCGTGATCTGGATCACATTTTCAGTAGATATGGAAGGTAATTGAATCACCTGGCGTACTACCTTGCAGTGCAATCTTTATTCTGCTTCGCATTTTGCATTTTCTATTTACTATGACAATCCTTGTCCATTTTACGAGTGGCCAAATTATTTAGTTTAGCTCTATGGCAGTTTATTATGCTTAACTGGCTATTGTTCATAGGATTACCGTTTGAATACAGGTCCCAGAAAAGAATTTGATAATATAACTGTAGTTTGTTCTTGATATTTATTGTTTTTTACATTCCATATTCAGGGGGGGGGGGGGGGGGGTTCCTCAACTCATTATTTATTACCAAGGCATAACTGGACTTGTAATGACCTTTTCTAATGGAGTGTCAATTCAGAGCAATTTTTTCTCAAAAATGTTTTTCTATTTTCCTTTCTTACCTTTGTCATCTGTAATAAATCAAGAAATAGAACATTAAATCTCTGAAAGATGTCCTTTCTTTATCTGCGTAAAGCGTCACTTCTCTGTTGATTGATAAATATTACTTTCTCTTCAGAAAATGCTGTGTTGATCCATGATTACAATGTTAGACTTTCACCCCAGTATAACATATCAAGTCTAGAAGCTTTAGTTGGTACTTCTACCTAGTATTCCTACACAGAGTCCTATCAATGTTTATACTTCTTATCCACAAGTTAGAATACTGTTTCTTCCCAAGCACGGCTTTAGCTTGGATATCTTCTTCATCGTGTTATTTGTGATGGAGCAATGTGCTATAGGTGCATTTGAATTTAACTTGTATGATTGTGTTGAAGGTTTCTGAGCCTTTGCCTGACCTGGTGGTCAATGGTGAGAGGGTGGACTTTGCCTGACCTGGGTCAATGGTGAGAGGTTGGACTTGGTGGAATATCTTGCAAATTATTAGGAGACTTTGGCGATTCTTTCTGTAGTGTCTTTACATGTTTTTATGGAATTCACAACAACCAAACTGGTGTTTAGTTGGTCCTGAGGGGCAAGTTTCATACACTTCCACTACTTATGTAAGTTATGATACCAATACTTTTCTGGCAACCATTTCCGCAGAGTACGGGATGTGGACATGAAGCAAGATTATGCCTTTGTTGTATGTATCATCTCTCTATTACTTGCTTTTGATTACATTTTTTTGTTTCTCTCATCTATCCATTATGCAAATGTGGTATTTGTCTAATTATACAACTATGGTTTCCTTGTTTGTTTTGGTGTATCTATCTCATTTCTCAGGAGTTCAGTGATCCGCGGGATGCTGATGATGCAAGATATAGTATGAATGGCAGAGAAGTTGATGGACATCGTATTGTTGTGGAAATTGCCAAGGGAGTGAGTAAAAATTTTGAGCTTTTACTTTATTATTTAATACTTGTTTCAAAGTTCAGAATGGTTGCCTTCACGTGAAGACGTTTAAATCTGGATATCGGAATTATTAAAAAATTAGGCTTTAGGATAGTGAGAGCCGTCTGGAAACACAATTGATATAGTTTGGTCATTTTTCTTGGGTTCTAAAAATGATCAAATATAGATAAATTTGTTGATTCATAGATCAATTACGCTTGGATTTGGGAAAAGAGAATAGATCAAGTTACACTTGAAATTATGTTCCTCATTGCCTCCAGTGTATTTACTATGTCGCACTATTGCCCATTGTAGTATTACAATAAATTGTTCAATATATCAATTAAAACCAGAAAACTAAAATTTTGAGTCAGTGTTGTGATTTTGTTAAATCCGGATATGCTTCCATCCCAGTCAAGAGTCATGCATATGATAAAGCGGAACTTTATGTACTTAAAAATGATTGGAAAAAGATGTTTCTAAAGAAAAACTGAAAATAACATTCAATGCAAGATATGCACGGTGGTGGTGGTTGATGCCAAAGACTAGAAAACTGGAGAGGCTGTTGGGTGTATAAAGGACATTTTACTGCTGCTAAGAATATGTTAATTTGAAGACTAAAGCAGTGGATCTCAGAATTTTTTGGAACAAAGTCGAGTTTGACAAACAAAACTTGGTACTGTTTATGTATTGTGTACATATGTTAGCTGACGCACTGGAAGGGTGTTTTTTTCTGGCAGTCAATCTATTCTTAGTCTACTTTTCTCGAATTGTATCAGTGATTTTACTGCTCAGGTGTCATGCTGATTATGATCTCCCTGTCCATTTCTTTTCTGTGGTTTTGTCTATTCTGATTTATATAAATTTCCTACTGATGTTGCATTACATGAGTTTAGGTGCCACGTGGACCTGGAGGAGTTAGAGAGAATGCAGGCAGGGGTCCAGATCCTGGTTCTGGACGCTGCTTCAATTGTGGCATCGAGGGTCACTGGGCTCGAGATTGCAAAGCTGGAGACTGGAAGAATACTTGTTATCGCTGTGGGGAAAGAGGTCACATAGAAAGAAACTGCCAGAATAGTCCTAAGAAGCTCAGGTACTTGCATCATGAGGCTGCAGTCACTTCTGTAGACAATCTTCTATTTCTTTGCAAGAGCATATTTTGGTACAGTTGTATCTTATTTTTTTATTCACTTATTTGATAATGAAACAATAGCCGTGGTGAGCGTTACTCTAGCTCCCCTGTGAGATCGCGTTCTCGTCGTGGAAGAAGCAGGAGTCGTAGTTTCAGCCGAAGCCGTAGCTACAGGTTTATAGTTTTTGTATTTTTTATTATTTTCTAATATTATATAAGAAAAATTTACTGGTCACGTTTGCTAGTAAATACTGGTCTTTTTGTTGGATTCTCATTGTTTTGATGGATAATCCAACAATGTAGTATTGAAGAGTCCCTACGTTTCTAGACTAGCTGTTTCCTCACTTGTATGTGTTGCCAGCCCATCAAGGTCGTCTTCTAGAAGACGAGTTGCCAAGCACGCAGAAAGGAGATCGAGAAGTCCTATCTCTAGTAGAAGTCCCAAGCTAAGGAAACGTAGTCCACCCTCCAAAACAAGGAAGCGCAGTCCAACACCTGATAGGGATAGCCCAAGAGAGAGAGAAAGCTTTTCTCCCCAGAGACAGGGATCGGTTTTAGATCAAGAAACGTACAGTCAAAGTCCTAAGGAGTCAAGCAGAAGTCCTCCGAGTCCTGCAAGGGATATCCCAGCTGCTAGGAGGTACTCTGAGAGCCCCCACGAGGGCAATGAGGAGAAACGCAGCCCCAGTCCAAGGGATGACAGGAGCCCTGTCGATGACGATGATGATAATGAACACTCTCCAAGAGGCAGTGAGTCCCCATGAACCTTGGTGAATGCATAGTAAAACACATCGTGTTGCAAGTTTCTTCAAGTTATCTTAGTTTTTGTTTTGATGCAATTAACTCAGAAAGTACATTTGATTGAATCAAAACTACAATATGCACCCAAGAATTCTATCAGTAACGACATTTGGCAACAGTTGTCATGTGAGACGGGTCTCAGCTTGTTTGATTATGCATTAAATAATTCTCTGGCATCTAGTACGCTAATCGGTTATAATGTTTGCAAGGGATGTTTATACTGTTGTTGTTAGTACTTTATTGAGAAACTTCATGTGCTTATAGATATTAGTTCCTCGAAAATGAGGTCTGAAATTAGAAACACAACGGTAAATAGTTTATCCAGTTCTGTGAGGCTAATCAAAAGGGACTGGATATGCTTGGTAAAAACGAAAAGAAATATAATACAATTTTGATATAACGTTCTCTCTTTTGGTTCGGTACATCCCTTGGTCATGTAACAGGATTATGCAATTTGCTGCACGTTGCAAGCCTCAATCTAAAGAGAATACTTTTGTTTCAAGCTGATAAGTTTTGGTGAAAAACGTTGGCCAACAGAGATATGTTGACAAAATGCTGCTGACAGTTGAAGCCCCTATTAACATGTTCATTACCACGATCTGCAGTTGAATGGCTTCCAAAGGAGAAGCTCCTCCCATTATAAGGCCAGTCATGGCACCCGGAAGTGATATTAGGCCTACGGTTTTGGCATTATCCAAGACCGGAGAGAGTGCAATGATCAGTGCCCTTTTCACCTGCTGTAGAGTTGCCTGACGAGGGGTAGCCCCAAGAGCAAGTGCTGTCTCTACCTACAGAAACATAAGTAGAAAGTTGTCAACACTGTACTTGTCATATCTCTGGATTTGGATAGTGTTCGCAAATAAGCAGTGTTGGGAATATTGGCTTGGCCTAGTCAATTGGACTGGCTTGTATTGAATGAAGACTGTTTTGCGATGATTTACCAGATTCATTTGGATCTTGATGTCATCCCGGAGTTTCTTCATTGTAACCCCAGTCACTGTCATTGCATTCCCAACCATCATCCCGGCAACAGGGATAATGTACCGGGGGGTGAAAGGGAAGACCTTTAGAATGACTAGCATGAACATAGTAACTGCTGTTCCGACAAGAATGGCCATCCCTGCAATGTACTTCCCTCGAGGTACATGTTTAGCACGTTGACCTGCTGTATAAGCAGCAACAGAAACCTGCAAGAGCACAAAGAGAGGAATAATAATCAGAAATCAATCTAAGAACGAGCAAAGCGCGAACAAACATCTCTTTCACTATAATGGTGAAAAAGAATACAAGTTTGTCTTCACTTCTCTTGTACGATAAAACGTTTACCGTATAAATCTTTCATATAGTTGGAATATTGGGGTTACATGATACAAGAATGAATGTCAAATTGTCAATGTACTTCTGCAGTAAGAAAATCGCAGTGGAGGGCAAAAGTGTACAAATATGACTAGGTTCCATATGGTCCAACATTTTGCCGAGCATATTCTCGATAATAAACAATTCATTCATTCCCATTTAAGGAATTTTTGAAGGCAATGCAATAAGAGTTAAATGATTGTAATCGATTAACAGTTCATACAAATTACAATACATAAAAACTGATAAATTTTAAAGTCAAAGGTTGCTGGCCAGATTTCAGATTTCAAATTTCAGATTTAGATTGTTGGGAAAACTTGTTACCGTCATAATGATCATTCATGTTGGACCATCAAGAATTTATGAAACAAGGAGGAAGTGTACTCGAATCAAACATGATTAATGCAATGATTGAGTCATGCGGTTTTAGTCTTCCAGATCAACACGTTGTTCCTTTATTTTTCTCTGATAATGAGAGTCAGAACATAATGAACAATCACGTGTGAATAGAGGACTATAACGGTATGTTAATCTAATTCGGCCCTTAGAAACGAGTCTGATCTCTACATTTAAAGACCCACACTTTAATTAGATGCTTCAAAGTCCAAAATAAAGAACCTTATTAGATCACTTTAAACAGGCTTAACCAAAATTGACAACCTTTAATGTAATACACAATAATTCATATATAAGCCCAATAACTGCTATGAGAGGATCATCAGTAGCCTTACAAAAAATGACTTGATGAAAAACAATCAAACCAGAGAGACAGAGAGAGAGAGAGATATACCATGAAAAGATAAGCCAGAACGATCCATCCAGCATTTTTCTGAGTGAAAATGAACTGCAGAACAAACCCAATAACAGATAGTTGAAGAAAAGCCCTGAAAACCGCATAAACCATTTCACCTTCCAAACGAAGCCTCTGAAAATACGACAATAGCACCGCCACCAGCACCACCGCCAGTGCCGCCACCGGCTTTATCATACCCTCCAAGAATTCCCATAGCCATTTCCAGTCCATAGCACTTGTTCAATACAGTTGAATATGCAATTAACTAAATTAACTGAAAGATTAAGGATACATATAGAGACACGTATATGTGTTCATGTGTGAGAAAAGACCTCCCCCTTATGAGGGTTGGAATTTGAGATAACCAGTGGAGTTTATACCTGGGGATTTGCTGTACGAAGGAATAAAAATCTGGTTCTGAAATAGATTGCAAGTACGTACGATGCATACGAATTAGGCACCACTTGGGATCGTGGGACTATTGTATTGCGGACTCTAGTGGCATCGTGGGACCCCTAGATTCTTGATTATAAATTATTTGATTTGATAGGTGATGAGAGACTTTAAAGGAGAGTTAAATGTTTCATTAGTCCCTAAACTTATTCTTGTGTCACGATTTACTCATTGAAGTTTAAATTATTTCGAGTGATAATTGAACTTTAACATATTTCATTTTGTCACTCGTATACTCACCATATTTCATTAGTCACTGAACTTATACTTCCATCACACTTTACTCATTGACCTTAAAATGCTTTTGAGTAATCACTGAACTTTACTTATTGAACTCAATCGTTCACAAATTGAAAAAATATCATATACGAAAATGACGCTCTTCTTTCGTATTAAATTACCTTGTGACGACTTTAAAAATTATATTTTGTTAGTATCGATTAATATTATTGACTCAACCGAAATTTATATGGCATGTTTTAGATATAACTTTTTTTATTTTCTTGATTTGGGTATATGATCTCAATCGAAATAAGGAAATAATTTCTCTATTTTATTTTCTCGACATAAATTACAATAATAATCTAAATTAAGATTTATGTTAATTTGAAGTTAGTATTCTTTTTTCAACTTGAACATAATTTTTAACGACAAGAGAAATTATATCTTATTTGCTAATATAAAAATTTTCGTTTTAGATTGAGAGATTCGTTATCTAGCCAATATTTATTATTTTTTTTAATCTAAGTCGAGTTTCACAAAACAAAATAATCAACTTCACTTGAAAATATTATGAAGTTCAGTGACCACTCGAATACATTTTAAAATTCATGAGTAAAACGCGATTGATGTATAAGTTCAGTGACTAATGAAACATGATGAGTGAGTAACGAAGTGCAACGTGTGAAAGTTCAGTGATCACTAGAAAACATTTTAAAGTTTAATGAGTAAAGCATGATGGGGGTAGAAGTTTAGTCACCGGTCGGAAGAGTTTTAAAGTTGAATAAGTATAGCGTGACGTAGTTATAAGTTCAATAATCAATGAAACATTTAACTCTTTTAAAGGGTGTCCTGTGACTTCAATGTTGGTCTTAAGAATTTTTTATTCCAATTTCGTCAATCAACTTTGTGGATAATTTTCTTGGTCGTTAAAGAAATTTCAATTAGATCTTTACTAACCTTAAAGCGATCCCAATGATATGTTTATAGATTGATAGCAATATTGTACGTCTTTTGTTTAATATTACAATTTGAAAATAAATTGTGTTTTAAAATTGAATACAGCTCAAGTAACAAAGCTTATTCATAGATCTATTTTTTTTTCGAGTTTCAAAATTTGGCGACCACGACATGAATATGTGACATATACACTTGAAAATCGGGACCGGCAGAAGATTTCAACGTTAAGTTCAGTAATGAAAGCTAGCGAAGTAACTAATATTGAGAGTAGATTAATGTTGAACTATATTTACCGCAAAATAAATTTGGGTGAGTCAATTGAGATTTCATTGAAAGTTAAGTAACCAAAATTGAAATTAACCCCAAATTTGTAAGCAATATTTGCTTTTGATTTTCGAAATAGCATACCAAACATTATGTTGTGGTAGATAGAAATTAAAATTTAATTTCAAATTGCATATGACATGTTTGTTCTTCAAACTAGATCGAACAAATAAATATGCAATACGTCCTCAATTTCTTTCTTTTTAAATCGTGTAAACTTTTAGATCCAATAGTATTTGTTTATGGCCAAAGTAAACAAAAAAATTAAATAAAAAGTTAGGTACACTATATATTGGAAAAGTTAGGATTGCACTCCTCGATCTTTCAAATAGTGTGGAAACGGTTCCCCAACCTTTAAAAGTGATATTCTGATTTCCCAACTCATGATATGCGAATTTGGGAGCAGTTTCCCAACCTTCAAAAGCACCATCTTTTCCTTGTGAAGCACACCATTAGCAACCACATTATTCCTCTCATCAATGTGCTTTGGATTGTTCGACAATTTTCGGCACTTTTTATTAATGTAAAATACTCAATACTAATTTCAATATTAAGTTATGACTGACAAAATCTCGTTAGGATCCGTTTGGTATGACTTTTGTTTCCTATAAAAGAATTTTTTAGAGGAAGTCGTCTTAATTTTTGTCTGAAAACTAAATTTTGAAAGCACTTTCTATTTCACATTTCAGAAGTGCATTTAGAGGAAGTTACAAGGACAGTTTCCTCTAAAAACTTTTCTAAATACCAGAAGCACTTTCTTAAAATTAATCACACGGGTTCAAAATCAAATTTTGGATCTCTAAAGCTCATTTTAGCATTCAACTTATTTCACGGTTTTAATTAGAAGAAAAATATTGGATTATGAAATTTTGATGGATTTGAGTTTAGGATCCATATGGAGGTTAGGGTAAAACCAATAATTGATTACTTAGAAAATGTTTAAAAGATATGATAAGTTGTGGTTTAATGGGTGCACGGGGTTAGAGATAGCAGTATGTTTTCAATTTGGTTTGAGGCTGTTCTTGAAGCATGGTAGTTGGATGTGGATTGATTGATGTTTGTTTTCTTTTTTTCTCCTAATTTTCCGCATTTTTCTTTTGTTTAAACATAGGGGTATGACGGTAACTCTCACATAAAATGGACTTCTAAACGGTCAAAAAAATGAGTTTCGTTCTGCGAGGATCCAAACTCACATAATTATATGGGTTTGGGAGCAAAAACCTCATTTTTAAAAATTGGAGATTTGTTTGCACATTGCCTCGAAAGGTTGGGGAGTGCATCCTAATATTCCCCAATAAATTTAACCTTAATTTGTATTATTCTATCGGTAGGTTGTGCCATGTGGATGAGGATAGATGAGTAGGCACCACAGGAAATGGCACCACAGGAAATGACACAATACGTTTTTAGCTTTGGATGTATATGACATATTTTAAGCAATCATGTTACATCAACAATATAAGCAATCGTGTTACAAATAAAATTTTTAAAAATATGTGAATAAAAAATTACTTTAATATTTATAAATATTATGTTCAGTATAATGCTCCAAGTACAGGAGTTGACCTACCAGGCTCCTCACTGTGCCGAGGCCCCACCCATGAATTAAAAAAAAAAAAAATTTGTGCCCCCACCCCCAAATGTATGTGGTCGGGCAGGGGCCTGTAAGTCAGGCCCCTGTACCTGAATCACTGCCCTTATGTTTAGGGCCCATTTTGCCCTGTTTGAGCCCCATTTCAATAAGAAAATGTAGTTTGAACATAGTGATTTTTCGGAGAATGCGTGATTAAAAAAAAAGATTTTTTTTTAATTTACGTGTAAAATTATTTTATAGGAGAATGTATGGTTGAAAATAAATTTTAAAAAAAATTAGTTTTGTAAAAACGGGGGCCAAACATATGTTTAATATGACTTCTACTTCTTATAAAAGAACTTTTCAAGAAGCTATTTTCGTTAGTTTTCTGTATAAACTCTTATAGGCAAAGTACTTTAATAAATTTGTTCAAACATTTTAAAAAATAGATTTTGACTTTTCAAAAGCTTGTCAAATGAATCTTAGTACATTTTGTTAGACATGATTAAAAATATAAAAAATATGTTTATTTATTTAATAATATCAAACGTTATCTTCCTAATTAAATCTCTATTTGATTTAACTAAAAAATAAAATTTAAGTCAGAGTCCATAATTAATTTTAACCACACATTTTATAAGATTCACAATTTTTAAATCACATATTTCATCATTTTTTTAATAATAAAATATACTAAAATTTTATTTTTTATTAAAACCAAATGGGATTAATTTGAATATGCCCAAAGAGAATCTCTTCATATAAGTGAATGTATAAATGAGAAAAGACATAATTAAAAGGTATAAGATTTATTATTTATTTATCCTAAATGAATGTCAGGATTCATAAATAAAACCAAAAATGCTGAAAGGGACCACTACCTATTTTTTTTTCCTATTGTATTGGCTTATCAGGGGCAGGAGATATTAATCAGGTCTTATCACATCTAGACAGGTAAAAACTTCTATAGTAGGTTGGGTTAGGTTGTTTAGTTTACGTTAAAAATAAATAAATATTAAGAGTGAGAGTCTCAAACTAGAGAGATGCTTAGCGTATATAAAAAAATATATATGAGACAATCTATAAATTACACACAATGGGTGGGGCCCATTTTTTTTTTTTTTTTGGACAATATTTAATTCACACGTCTGTAATTTCTCTGGAAAAAAATTTTCTGTACAAACATCATTTTTCCTCAAACTATTGTGAAATGTATTAAACAGCTCTTCGATATTTTTGTCATGTTCGATTTTTTTAGTACTTGAGTCCTTAATGGATAGTTTCGTTGATTTAACTGTTAAAAAAGTTGCATGATAATCACGTGCCTAATTTTTTGAAAAATGAAAGAGTAAGTCAAAATGAGAAGGAAATGAAAACAAAAAAAATAAAAAAATAACAAAATCCTCACACCAACTCCTTCACCCTTCTCTATTAACCGTTTCATGTTCTCTACAATAGTTTGGACTTTGGAAGTTGAATGGTAGAAAGTAAGGGACGGTTCTCTTTATAATTTTCAAGCCGTTTTCTGTTTTCGATTTTTCAAAACAGTAAAAACGTGTTCTCTTTCTTATTTTCGAAAACGCGTTTTTGAAAACAAGTTAAAAATATTCAAAGAAAACTTCAGTTATAATCAAGTCAAAATTTTCAAAATGCGTTTTGGGTATTTTCAAAACAATTTTTCAAAATATCAAAAAGAACACATTTTCAACAATCTCAAAACGGACACTCAAAACACAAAACCCAAAATGAATTCAAAACACAAAACACAAAACTAAAACACAAAGAGAATAACCCCTAAGTTTCTTTTTTCAATACTATTTGGAATTATTTCTCAAAGAAAAGCTCAAATTTTCTAACATAACAAACTCTTAAAAGTACCTTTTATAGGCCGATGGACAAGTTTAGTAAACGTAGTTTAG